TTTCTTCCATGAAGGAGAACTGCCGCATCACCCAGCAGTGAGCGCGGGCAGGGGAAGAAGTTGGGTGTCGTGACCGAGTTGGCGAGGGTGATGGCGGCGGCGAAGATGGCGGGGAGTTCGGGTTCCGGGAACTCGACGGGTTCGTCAAGGCTGGCGAGGAGTTTCTTCTCGCGCTTGGCTTCCCACTGCGAGACAGTCCGCACACGGCTGGTGGTGATGCTCTCGGCCTCCGGGTGTCCGAAGAAGCCGGCGAAGATGCTGTCCAGCGCCATGTAGGTGATGTCGTGGTGGGCGTGGAAGAGGTGGCCCTCGGCCGTGTCGCACTTGATCTCCCACAGCTTGATCAAGGTCGAGGCGGCCTTGTAGAGCTGCGGCCCGCTCACCTCAGTGATGAAGCTGGGGGCCATGAGGTGGTTGATCAGGTGGCGGTTGTTCTTGTAGCGGGAGTCGGTCGACACGAACTGGATGTGCTGCTCCGGCAGGATGCCGCCAATGAGATCCCCGAAGAAGCCGCTGCGATCGAACTCCTTGGTGCGCCGCAGCAGGATGTCCTGGCTCTCAAAGGGGTCCGTCACCACCACCCACGGCAGCGCCATGGGGGCGATGAACGCCTGGATGATGGGGCTCTGGTGCCGCGCCGTCAACGACGTCAACCAGTCCTATCCACGGTTACACAAAGACATTGGTTAGCCATATGAAGATGACCTGGAGACTCATCGAGTGGGAAATAATTTTGTGATGGGGGCGAGTTCTGGAGCTAGAATAGGTGGGGGGTGGGTGTGTTGGTAGGACAAAGTTGACAACCACGACAACGACTTACAAAGACCCGCTTGGTACGCATGACATAGCCCATCATCTCGGGGATATCCCCGAACACTTGTTGGCGGCATCTCGGTTGTACGGGATGCCGGCGAGAGGCTTGGGTAGTGCGGCACGGTACAGAGCGTACAGACCCGCCAGGACCGCGCCGAGCAGGAACGTCCCCTGGACGGAGGAGAGGACGGCGCCCATATTTTCTTCTTTGACGAATTCCTACTGTGTGGTACTTGTGATACTGTGTGACAATGAGAGGCGTTACTGTTAGTTGGTTTAAGTTAATTCGGCTGCGACTCAGAGTCTCAGTCGGGAGAAGCAAGCGACGGGAGATGCAGCAGCCGCGTTTGTGAATTAATTATGAGCTGCGACTCCGAAAGCAAATGGAGAGCAGCGGTCAAGGCCAGGTGAAGGGGGGGGAGGTTGCATGGAAACGATGTTGCAGTTGGTTGGAAAGCTCAGGGGTGGGAAGAGGGCCCGCGGAGGACTTGTTGCTATCCGATTGGATCGACATGGTGAAAGACGTGGGATGGGGGAGGAATGGGAAAGGATGGGAAATGCCCCAGCGCCCCCAAGGCTCCATGGACGGGTTTCGTTAAGCCACCCCTGGAAGTTCCCCCACTTCCACTCACGGCACGCAGCACGCGAGGAGCACTGTTCCTCCGATTGGCCCGTAGGCGACCGTTGAGCCCGTATCTTGCACGGGGAGAACTGTCAGAAGCAACACACCACAGCGGGCCGAGAAGGCTGCCGTCGCACTGGACCCGTCTGGATCCCCTTGTTCCTACAGATGGCCCCTCAGGGCCCTTTCCTCAAAGGCGAGGCGACATGGAAATGTGTAAATGAACCTAATGCCATAACGGTCCCAATTATGATGATCCTTTTTCTTCTGCAACCCCTCCAGGCCCTCACAATCCTTTAACTCAGGCATCCGCCCGACCAAGGCGGAGCATCGAAACAACATTCCTTTCATTTTGTACACACGCTCATTCGTTTTCATTGTGTTTTTGGCCCTGGAGTTTTTCGACCTCAGCCTTAGTGCCCGTCAATCTCCTCCACAATGGCTGACGACAATGGCCCCCCCATGACCATCACCATGGTGGTCTGCACCGTGGTGTCCTTCATCTTCATGTCCTTGCGTTTCTACTGCAAGCAGTCGATGAGCACAAAAGTCGGCCTCGACGATGCCATCCTCGCTTTGTCATGGGTACGGTACCTCTTTTAATACGTTTTTTTCCCCCTCCCCATCAACTCCCACTCGGACGCGCGAGCCCGGAACCAGGACCCCCATGGGGATGGGGGTGCCAGTCTCGGGATCGTTGCCGGCTCAGCTGGGGCTGGCTCCCTGGGCGGTGAATCTGACTCGTGGGGTGTTCTTCCCGCTAACTACCATGTGCAGGCGCTCTTCCTCGTCTTCGTCATCATCTCCATCCAGACGACCCATTGGGGTCTGGGCAAGCACCTCGCCGACGCCGACCTGACCCAGCTGCCCAAGCTGATGTACTACTTGCCCATCGGCCAATTCTTCGCCGTCATCGCCATCGCCGTCTCCAAGTCATCCTTCATCATCACCCTGCTCCGGCTTGTCACCAAGCCATGGCAGAAGGCGGCCCTCTGGTTCATGTTGGTCACCATCAACGGGTCCATGGGTGCCATCTCCATCGTGCAGTTCTTCCAGTGCGGCGTCCCGCCGACGGAGGGTTGTGTTGACGGCAATGTGGTCATCGGCCTCGGCGTGTTTGCTGCCGGCTACTCGGCCGCTATGGATTTGGTCCTCACTGCCTTCCCCAGCTTGGTCATTTGGAACTTGCAGATGAAGAAGCGTGAGAAGATGGGTATTATTGCGTCCATGAGTCTTGGTGTGGTGTAAGTCATATACCCCTCTACCCCTATAACCCCTCTTTTCTCTTGCAAGCCACTGGAATTCTCTGCTGGCCTTGTGATCACTGCCCGTGTGACCCCCCCCACCCTCTTTGACCGGATACTGACCCTTGTCTCGTCCCTTGCAGTGCTGGTGTGGTCGGTATCTACAAGTCTTCGACCATTCCTGCCGTCTCGCGTAGCGCCGACTTCACTCACGGGACCGCCGTGGTGCTGATCTGGCTGGTGGCTGAATTCGTGGCCACGGTGATCGCGTGCTCGATCCCCTTCTTCAGGCCGCTAGTGCGCCGCATGTCGTCGACGAACAAGCGCAGCAAGGGTTCGTCCTATGGGATGGGCGGCATGGGCAAGAGCGGTCACAGCAAGCTGAGCAGCCGCACCGACATCAAGGCGGCCAGCTCGGATGAGAGCAGCGACAAGGACGAGCAGCCGCTGAACACGGGTGTCGTGCACCGCACTGACGTCTTTACCGTCGAATATGACAACTGGTCCGCCAACGAGGGTGGTAACGGGCACTCCGGACCAGGACAGGCCCGTCGTGAGATGTGTTGAGCGCATTTACCCGAGTCCACTTTGTTTCACAGCATGCAGGAGCAGGCAACATACAAGGGCAAAAAACAGGGCGTGGGATTCCCGTTGTGGGTCTTTCTGCCCAGGTTCTGGTTCGGTTCGGGGTTCGGTTTTTTTTTGGGGGGGGGCGGTTGCGTGGTTTGTTTACATGGGATTGGACTGAACAGGGGGGATGTGGGACAGGGCACTAATTTCCCGCGTGAGACGGCTTTTGATTTTTTGATTTTTTTTTGACGGCTTCTCCAAAATATGAACGAAAATGAAAACGTCATTTCCATTCACAACGGGTTTTACAACGTGCCTGACTGAGAGCTGACTCATGAAGACTACCTCGGCCCCCAAACATGATGAGATACACGTACATGCACTCAGATATGACGCCAAACTTTGTACGTCGATCACGAGACCCATACCCCCAAACTGCCTGCCCATAGTCTCTGCCCCCAATGGCAAAAAACTCTTTAAGTTCGGTGTCTCACTTGGCAACGGCCGGAGGAAATCGTCCACGTGCCCTCGGCGTGCCCGCACCGACATCCCCCATCTTGAACTCCTTGACCCCCGCTCAGCTTAAAAGTTTTCAACGATGCCCGATGAGACAACCGGGGGCATCTTCGAGAGCACGTCCCCTTCACAAGGGAGTTGGGGCCGATCGCACCGCTGCCGACTACCGAGGGGGAGGGCGGCACCGTGGAGTCTCAGTCCCAGTCACCCACTCACGAGAAACACTAGGGTAGTTATTTCCAAGAATCCTCCACGGAGCCAGAACCGACCGAGCCGAGTCCACCCGTCATTGTCACCTCGTCGTGCCCAGTGTTACCCCACGCCGAAGAGAAGTCCCTTGGGCTCCCTTGTGCAGGGGAAAGCGGTAGCTGCGCCGCCTCCTGTATTTTTTCAGAATCCCCTCCGTGAACCCGTGAACGGCAAGTTTTTTTGCTGATCTGCTCAAGCCCAATCCCCGGGCCAGGAGGCGTTCGAAGCGACGGTTGTGGGGTTGGTCGGTCGCTCGGGCTCGGAACCAGCAAGACAAGGGTCTTACCGAAGGAAAGAAGGTTGTACCGAAGGAGTGGTAGCAGGGAATCAGGGTCGCAGCGGACGCTGGGCAACAAGGGGGATCCTTATCGGCGGGACTTCAGAACCCCAAGGACCAGGCCAACATGGGAATAGGGGGATCGTAATATCGGATTCCAGATTCCTGAGCTCGCCGGGACTGGCTGGGGACATTGCGGACTGGTTGTGCGGGAGTCATCCCGTGATCGAGGGAGGCAGGTTTTGCCCGATTCCACGTTCCCAGCCGGCCGGGTGATCTTATTCTTGGGCTTCCCATGTTATTATAATACCCCCGCGTTGCCCATGGTGTGTGCTGTTGGTTGTTGGTAACTCTTGTTGGGTCTTAGTTTGATGCAACCGGTTTGGTCTTGAAAACACAACCCTGTCATCTGCACCCTGCCCGCAGCTACCACCTCTTACCAGACTCTCGGGATGAACGCGCCAGTGAGAAAGCTGAGGCTGCCGCCTCTGGAGTCCGTCTGGAGCTGGCCCCGGTATGTCAGTCCGCATCTAGCCGACCTCGAGGAGGAGTGCTTGGAATGGAGTGCCAGCTTCGGGGCCTTCGACCCCGAGACACAAAGGTTAATTCACGACTACGGCAAGCTCAGTAAGCCTCTCTCCTCCCGGTGGCGCCCGAGAGGTGCAGTAAACCCCAAGTCCCGGCCCCAGGTTACTGACCGAGGGGGAAACATGTAGACCTTCTCGCAGGAATGTGCTACGCACGCATGCCACGAGGTGAGTGAGACATCCAAGAAGACGTAGACTACCTACGAGTGTCTTCGTGGACTCCACCGTCGACCTGCCTTGCTAACCAATTCGCCACCATGAGCAGAATACGTACGATCCGGATGCGACCTCATGCACCTCTTCTTCATGTTCGACGAGTACTCAGACCAGTCCACCCCCGAAGAGGTCTGGCACCAGGCGAGTATTCAAATGGATGCTCTGTGTTATCCACATAAGCCCCGTCCCAAGGGCGAATGGATCGGTGGCGAGATCGCACGACAGTACGTGCAATCCTCCTCCCCTCCTACGGCAGCTCTAGTCGAGCAGGAGCTGACTCGACCCACTCAACAGGTTCTGGCTCCGTCTGCCAAAGACAGCCACCAAGACATTCAAGCGCCGCTTCCTGGAGACGTGGATCGACTACGTCGAGTCCGTCGCCCAGCAGGCCGAGCACCGATCCGAGTCCCGCATCCTCGATCTCGACAGCTACTTCCCCCTGCGCCGCCACACCTCGGGCGCGCCCTCCACAATCGCCTTTTGGGAGCTGGACATGGACATCCCAGATCACATCCGGGAACACCCAATCCTCCGCATGCTGGAGACGCTCGCCGTGGATTTGATTGTCATTGGCAATGTAAGTTGGCCTCTCATGGGAAAGCTGGTTGTCATACTCACCTGTGTCTCTTCAGGATCTGCTCTCGTACAACAAGGAACAGGCCGTCGGAGACGACGAGCACAACATTGTGACCATAATCATGGCGCAGTTCCAGGTGGGCGTCCAGGACGCCATCGACAAGGCCGGCGAGCTGAGCCGCGAGAAGATGGAGAAGTTCAACGCCCTGTACAGCCTGCTCCCGCGCTGGGTCGGGCCCGTAGATCTCGACGTCCAGAGGCTGGTGGACGGGATGGCGCAGTGCGTGAGTGGCGTCCTGCACTGGAGCTACGAGAGCCAGCGCTACTTTGGGAGCCGCGGCATGGTGGTCAAGAGGACACGCACGCTGCGCTTGTTGCCAAAGGCAAAGAATGCAAAGATTGCGACCATGAGTTTGTAGGGTTTATAGTAGGGTGTGTTTGAGAGGCATGAGCGGCATGAAATAGACTAGACAGAGACCGGCAACGTTACGAATAAACTATCTTACTTTCCTGAGCTATCTATCTCCCCGTTGCTTCTCTTGGCTGCGGCTCTCGCGGACGAGAGAGCCAGCCACATGATGCAGGTTCCTGCATTCAACACAGTATGATAATCCTCGCCGGTCCTGCATGGCTCTCAGTGGTCCTCACGGGACTTTTCGCCCTTGTCGGTACCCCAGTCCTATTTCGCTCGTGCGGCAAAAACGAGGCACGTCCCCTGTCGGCAAGGATATAGTCCTGGTCGGTATCCTCTTCGATGTGACCCTTGTCGATCTTTCGGCCTCTCCGGCCACGTCGGTTAATAAGACTGATGGTATAAGTGGGCAAGCGTCGCGTTCAGTCTGCGGACCTCCCGTCGATACGACCTCTCTACTGCAGGAGAGAGCAAATCTGGCAACCATCTTGTGCGTTCGACACAGTGCATGACAGACAGACAGCCCGGACTCTGACATTTCAACCTCGGATTCTTCTTCGCCATGTCTTGGCTCTCTTCTCTTTCCGAGTGGCCAAACGGCACGGTTGCGGTGACCGCAGTCCTCGCTGCCGTGGCCGCCTACCTCCTTGCCACCGTTATCCACTCGGCAACGCTCCACCCGCTCGCTCGCTTCCCCGGTCCCGCCTCCTGCTCCGTGAGCCGCATACCCTTTTGGGTGGCCTGCATCACGGGGACGCAGGTGCGGTGGATGCACAAGCTCCACGTCCGGTACGGTCCCGTCGTGCGCTACAGCCCCAACGACCTCAGCTTCGTCGACGACGGGGGCTCCGTCTGGAAGGCCCTGCACAACCGTCACGAAAAGGGAGGGAGGGAGTTTGCCAAGGCGAAGGAGTGGTTTGTCACCCCTGCCAACGGTCGGTTTTACCCCCCAGTCTTTTTTTTTGGTCTGCATGTTGCATGTTACATGTTGGTCGAACCAACCGCCATACTGATCAGCGCTACAGGCATCTACGGCATCAACAGCGCGGCCGCTCATGAAGACCATCGGCGGTACCGCGCCCTCTTCGCCCCGGCCTTTTCCGAGCGTGCCTTGAAGGGCCAAGAGCCCGTGTTCCGGAGCCATGTCGACCAGCTGCTCTCCAAGCTGGCCGAAGCCGGCGAGGCCGGAAAGCCCGTGGACATGGCCAAGCTCTTCCAGCTCACCACGTTCGACATCATGGGCCAGCTGACCTTCGGTCAGTCGCTCGGCCAGCTCGAGTCGACCACCTACTCGCATTGGGTCCAGGCCGTGTTCGATTCCATCCGGGCCATCCCCATCGCCCAGCTGATCCAGTACTACCCCCTGTTCCAAGCCCTCTTTGACCTCGTGGAACCCAAGGCCGTCCGGGACATGAAGTACAACCACTTCCGGTTCTCGGCCGACCGCGTCGACAAGCGGCTGGAGCGTGGCTCGGACGAGCCCGACATCTGGAACCTGGTATTGTCGGCCCAGGGCGACAAGAAGCTTACCCTGGACGAGATGTATTGCCACGCCGACGTCTTCATGCTAGCTGGGAGTGAGACCACGGGCACGGCCATGTCCGGCCTGACCTACTTCCTCCTGACCAACCCGGACAAGCTGGCGCTCCTGACCCAGGAGCTGCGTGGCCGGTTCCAGAACGAGGATGAGATCACCATGGAAAGCACCGCCCCGCTAAAATATCTGAATGCCTGTAAGTGCCCCTGGCCACTAGTATCATCTCGCACACAACACCATCACCTGACCCCCTTTCAACCACTCAACACCATCTCATTTACCTCTGAGGCATTATCAATTCCCTCAACCCCGATCCAGCCCAGCCTCTGGATTGATTGAATTCCCTCAACCCCAAACTCATTTTTTCAAATTTTCCCATCTCCAAATCCCTCACCGAAACCCCCAACCCAACCCCCGTCGCCACCCCCACCCCCAACCCATAGAACCCAACCCATCCGCGCCACACCAAACTAACCCCCCACCCCTCTCTCTCTCAAAAAAAAAAGGCATCCACGAAGCCCTGCGCATGTACCCGCCCGTGCCCGTGGGCGTGCCCCGCGTGGTAGCCGCCTCCGGCAAAACAGTCCTCGACCGCTTCATCCCCGCCGACACGCGCGTGTCGGTGCACCACTACGCGACCTACCGTAGCGCGTCCAACTTTGCCGACCCAGACACCTTCGCGCCGGAGCGCTGGCTAACAGGTACTGGTGGTGCTGGGGGTGGTGGTAAGTACGCGGGGGATCGGCGGGAGGCGATGCAGGCGTTTGGGTATGGGCCGCGGGATTGTTTGGGCCAGAATATGGCGTGGCATGAGATGCGGTTGGTGGTGGGGAGGTTGTTTTATGGGTTTGATTTGGAGGTGTGTGAGGAGAGTTTGGGGTGGGTGAGGCAGAGGGCGTTTATTTTGTGGGAGAAGAAGCCGCTGTTTGTGAAGGTGAGGAAGGCGGTGGTGTAAGTTGCCTGGTAGTGAGGGGTGAGTTGGTGTTGGTGGGTGGTGGGTGGGTGGTTACTTGTAGGGGTTGGGAACTTAAGGGCTGGAAGAGAGGTGGGTTGTTTGAGAAAAGTATCGGGTATCTAGGCAGGGTCGGGTAGAGGTTGGTTGGGTTGGATTTATGGAATGATGCTGTGTATGAAAGGGATGGTGTTATTCGTAAATCAGATAGCTTTAGATTGTAGCCCGCGCTATGTCATTGATTTTCTTAGGCTTATATTCGCTTATAGACTTGCACTCATGGTGTTCCCCATCCTAGATTGGGTAGGTAGCTAGGTTCTACATTCTGACCTGAGGTACCTAGTTTGGGATCTTATAACTAAACGCTTTCGTTTTGCTGTTTAGCACCTGCGAGGCCCTCGTACGGAGGCGAAAGCTCACGTTCCCAGATGCAAATCTTTCATGGGACCATTATCTCTCTGGGCTGCGACGCCTCAAGCGCGGATATATAATGCCCCAGATATTTTATTTACGCTGGCTTCCCGGTCTTCTCTATTTTCCTGGCCCTCATGTCAAAACCTCAGAATTGTCCTTTGCGTCTTTTCATGTTTAGTTCCTAGGTGTATATCTAGTGTTAGAACAAAGAGCCATCCCCTCTTCCATTACCAGAATTGCTTGTACTTTATGGGATGCTAAAAGATGCATTTCTCGGGGCTACGCCGACCCGTGGCTGGCAGCTTGAAGTCTGGGTATTATTGGTAAGGTTTGTTGGTCTCGTGTAAGTGATTTCGCCCCACACAGACCTTCTTTTTTTGGCACGCCGCGAGCAATTCCAGCCAACCATGGCTTGGGAATTTTGGGCGGCATGGCATATGCCGTTGACTATACCGTTGCATTTTATTGGGGGTTAGCGAACAGGCTCATTCCTTGGATTACCGAGAGAAGGTGTGGGGTGGACTTAGTTGATTCGGCAAAAATGAGATCAACAGGTGATGAGGAGAGAGTCGTCCCCTGTGCATCTCTCCATCATAGTGGCAGGAAGGTACTTGACGATCACCTGGGCACTCATGAAAACCCATTGTCAACACCCGCGACGCTTCCCATTACCTCTTCAGTCTAGGCCTCGTTGGTGGTGAGACCTCGTTTCGCCAGTCCCTGAACAGCATTGAGCATGACGCCGCGGGCGATGAGCCTTCTGATGCCTATCGATTCCACCCGCCTGTCAAATACCGTTCGGAAATGGAACGCGCACACCAAAAGCTCGCTTCGTGCAAAGCGTGGAGAGTGGCTAGAGTACCTAAGTAGGTGAGAAATGTTAGCCATATGCCACCGATTGTTAAATAGCTCGTGGTTGGTGGCTGTACGAGATGGCCGACTCGGGTTGAAGAATCGTCCCGAGGCCGTGACACGTAGATCTAGAGGATAGCGGGCAGCGTTGTGAAATGTCTATGAATCTCGACTGTTTGCCGCTATGTATGAAGGACGTAATGCGGCCGATTTCGTCCCGATTGATGGTATATGAACACGGCCTTCTCCGAGCGGACAACGCACTTCCATAGGACGTATTCCAAACCCGAAACCCCGGCCCATAGGCGCGAGCCATATCCTTTCGCCTCTGCCCCTCTCTAATTCTTAGCTTCTACCCGCCCACCCAAAAAACACCAAGATACCCAGCCACACCTTCGATGCCCACGCGACGTATCCACCCCCTCCTCTCTCTTCCCAGAGACTCGTTACATAGCCTTAGCTTTCATACTGTTGAACTCTCGATCGCGACTGTAAAAATAGGAAAAGGGAGCGAAACTCATCAGCATTACCATTCTCAAAAGGGAACCAAAAGAAAAGCCATCCACCCTGCCGCCATTGAAGAGTACCCAAGTACACCTAGAAAGACAAACAAGCCAATCTAGTAAGGGGGACGCCGCAGCCAGTCAACCAATTCTCTCCATTAAGGAATATTATCTCCATTAAGAAATGGTCGACGGCATGCGTGGCGCGGCACAGTATCGTGCGGTATTGCGGGGGTTTTAAGGGAGCATATAAGTCATCAGCACTTATTCCTCGTACCTTCCCCCCGTCAGGACGGCCGGCCCACTCTTCTCGAGCTTCTCCTTGAGGTATTCGTAGACGGTAAACGTCACGGCCTGGCCGGGCGCGACGCGCATGATGCGCGGCGTGATGCCCTTGTAGAAGGCGTGCACGCCTTATTGTCTGGTTGGGGGGTGGGTGGGTTGGTTAGCGCTGGTTCACTCATCTCGAGTAGAGCAGGACGGGAGGGGGGAGGAGGGGGGATGCATGTCCGGGGCCAGGACGCAAACGCACTTGAACATATCGCCGGCGATCCTGGTGATGCGCTGCAGCGCGGAGGTGCCCTCCTCGGCGCGCATCTTCTGCAGGCGGGTCTTGATGGTGTCGATGGGGGCGTTGCTGAGGGGGCCCATGGCGCCCGAGACCAGGCCGATCAGGGTGGTCTGGTAGCTGGGCAGGCTGGCGCCGCGGTACTCGGGCTGCCACTGGTACAGCCACTCCTTGAAGTAGGTGTAGGCGGTGAAGTTGACGGCCTGGTTGCTGCCCTGGCGCAGCGCCGTGAGCGACACGCCGCGGTACAGCGCCCCGGCGCCTTCCTCCTTGACGATGGTGTACAGCGCGTGCGCCGCGTTGCGGTACTTGGGTATGTCGAGCGGGTCGGCCATGCTGTGGTGCTGCGCTTGCAGCCGGATCTTGACCACTTCCATCGGGGTCACCACCGCCACGGCTTCGGTGACGCCCGCGGCGAGGCCGGCCAGAAAGAGGCTCTGGCCCGAGACGACGCCCGTGTCCTTGTGCGCGAGCACTTGCTTGTACCATTCGAACGAGGTGAAGCGGATGGCCATCTTGGGCACGATGCCCGTCAACACGGCACCGAGTCCCTTGTATAGTCCGAGCGGCGTCTCCTTGCGCACGATTTCGAGACCGGTCGCTATGAAGCCGCGCTTGGGCATTCCCGGTTCTCGGCCGCGCCGCGACAGCTGCATGCGCACCTTGATGGTGTCTGGGCAAGGCCCGGGTCAGCTGGTGTTTCCTGATACAACGGGGGGTGGAATGGGACGGTCCCTGCTGACCTAGGGGATGGCACACCAACGCCTCCATCATACCAGCACCTCCGCCAGCTGTGAATCGACCCGTCGAGTTAGTATGGGGCACACCAGCACCCGGGCCGGGGATGCGGCCATGGGCTGGGGCTCACCGATCAAGTTGGTTGCCGCGGACGCTGGCTTTTTGCCATCTTTCCCAACTTTTGTCGCCATATTGTATGCTTGTGTATGTTTTTACTTTTTTCTTTCGTCGTACTCATTAAACCGCACTCACGGCTCCAACAAGTTGATATCGAGGAATCGCCGTGCCGATGCCAAGCCCCTTTCTCCGGATGCCGAGGATGATGATATCCCAAGACTCGTCCAACCAGCAAAGCTGCGGCGCCGTGGCTTGAAAGCTCCGAAGCGTAGAGATAATGCTGCGAACTCGTCTTGTCGTTCGCAAAGTCGTCGAGGTAAATACAAAGCCAAAGACAGAAACTATCTCAATAAAGAGCGTAGGACGAACGGATCCGGGCAACGGGAGAGATAGTAATGTGGATCACCTCCACAGTCGGGTCTAGGGATCTTGGTGTATGAGTCCACCAGGAATAACGGTACAGAGGAGAGGGTATCACTAGAGGGGAATCAGAGAACAAATAAAAAGCAAATGGTGGGAGATGGATGAGGTGGTGTTTGGGGGAAATATTATTGGGGTGTAAGTATGACTCTCAACTTCGCGGCAAATCGGGTGTTTGGACGGAACAGCAGCCGAGCCGAGCGGGTACAAGGCCGAACAAACGAGATCCCGACCCCATATATGCTTCTAATGGACCTAGAACCGTGGCCGGCCCCAAGCGTCGGGTCACTTGACGGAAGGGAGCGAGATCCACATGGTGGGTTGAGTCAAAAGGGATTTGGCCTGGAGAGGCAACTAACCCCTTCGTCCGTAGCCGAGAAAACCAATGAGAAAGAGAGATTGCATCCCCAAGAGGCAAGAGGCCAACGCCAATGACATAAAGACAAAGGATAGATGTACAAGATATCTCGGTGTTGCGTCAGGGTGTGACTATTCCGTTGATGACAACCCGTTCGGCTTAGCGGAGCACCCTAACGTCACATCTCCAACTGTGCCTGGCAGCTGTCTCCAAAACCACCGGCAGATTCGCCGTCACTTTGGGGAATGATGGAATGTCGAGTCAGCCCTCGGCTTGTTCTGTCGAACCAAATGCCCTTTCCACTGAACACTAGAGGGGATTGGGCAACACGTGGCCGTAAACGGGCAACCTGACGTCGTGACAAACTCCCATTGCGGTCAAGGGAGATGGCCCGGACACCCCAAAGCAAGAAGTGTTGCCGAAATGTTCTGTCCTGGCTTGTGATCGGGCAGTGACGTATCGATAACCGACCCCAAGCCGAGCTTGTGATTCTGCGGGGAAGCCTGAGGGGTCTTTTGAGGTGCGTTGCCCCACACTGAGCTCGGATGCTCCCGGGAACGGTCGCCCAGCCGCGAGCAGCCAATGCCGAGGTCATTTTGCGGGTGCCGAAAGGGATGGTCACTGGCGCTCCAACAAGTGACAACCCGATAACAACAAAGCTGGAGGGGAGCCCGGGTGTGGAAAACTCGAAAAAGAAAATGTCTGGGAATTACAGGTTGTGATTATCGCATTGTTAAATCGGGTATTGAGTATTCATGTCCAACCAGAAACCCATGTCCGTTCCGCCGTGCCCATCTATGAGTTTTTGGTACCCCTTCGCATTGCACATCCCAGACAACAGAAGATGCGCCGCCAAATAAACCAAACCGCCAGTCCAAACCCACCGAGAAGAAGCCAAGGAACAAAAGCCAATGAAAGTGCCCTGCTTTTGCGGGCGGATCTCAGCAAAAAGAGGTCGCCAGTAGGAGACACCCAAAACCAAAAAAAGAAACCTTCAAACTCCCTCATGCAGCGGCTCGATGTTGAACGCCGCGCCGTATCCAAGCCCTAACTAGTTCGGGGTGCCGACATCCAGCACGCACTGCCCGTTGGCGGTCCCAATATCCTTGAACGAGTAGATGCGGATCTCTCCGTCCTCGCTGCCGCTCGCCATGCGGCTATCGCTAAGGGCGACGCACGTTACGGGGCCCCTATGCCCCACAAACGTCGCGTCGCACTTCCCGCTGCGCGGCTCCCAGCACTTGACCATGCCGTCGTTGGCCCCGCTAATGACGCGGATCGTGTCGCCGGCCAGCGACCAGACACCCTCCAGGTGGCCGAACATGGTCTTGATACACCGCCCTGTCGCGCTGTCCCAGAGGCGGATGGTGCTGTCCAGGGCGCCGGACAGGAAATACCGGGGAGGGAGAGGGCGCGAGGGGTCCGAGGCAAAGGTCGATCCGTACATCTGGCGGATGTCCTCGTCTCGAGATGGTGAGTTGCTGCGCCGGTCGGGGTGCATGAAAGCCGCCGCCGAATTCCCGTCACCTCCGCTCGCGGTAGAGAGGGCGTCGGTATTGTCGCCGGGCCCGGCGGTGCCGGTCATCAGCTCGTCGTCGGGCTCATACTCTGGCGGGAGAAGCAGGATTTGTTGAACATGGCCGACGTGGCCTTCAAAGGTCCGGACGACCTGCCGAGTGTCCAAGTCCCATAGCTTTAGTGTTGTGTCATCCGATGCTGACATGACAGTCCTGCTGCTAATGTCAAGCCGTGTGGAGTTGACCCAGTCAGTGTGGCCCTTTAGGCAGAAGGCCTCTTTGGAGTTGAAGTCGAAGATCTTGACGCTCTTATCAATCGACCCGCTGGCGAGGAGCTGCGCGTCGAAGTGCACGCTCACCACGCCATCGGTGTGGCCCTGCAGCGTCGAGATGCATTCGCCGGTACGCCAGTTCCAGATCTTAATGGTGTCTGTACCAAGTCAGCGGATTGAGTCACCTAGCCGATGAGAAGGGGGAACATACTATCTAGACTGCCGCTGATCAACTTGGAATCGTCAAACTGCAGAGCGCGGATGCCTCGTGCATGGCCGCGAAGGGTGCGAATCTCCTCGCCCGTCTCAATGTTCCCTATCCGCCGAGGTTAGCCCTGGGTCGAGTACCCGCAAAGTATGCAGAGTACATACAGATCTTAATGGTAGCATCGTACGACCCGGTCGCGAGGATGTTGTCGTCGAGTTGGAGGCATGTCACGCCGTTGGTGTGGCCCTTGAGCGTTTTGACCGAGCATCGCCCGTATTTCCAGTTGTATCCGACCTGATTAACCACATTAGCATCGAGTCGGTCAGACCAACGACCGAGAGTATGCACGAACCTGCCACCGGTCCTTGTACACGGCCTTCCAGCTCCGGGTTATAGGCTCTTCCTCCGGCTGCTTGTCGATACACCGCCGCTTGCCATCGGGGCCATCGGCCGATTCAATCTGTCGCTTCCCCGATGGGTGTCCCAGGGCTTCAGCTGGCGACGAGTCGTTGAGTTCCTGTATCCTTCCGTTGGAATTGTCCTTGGCCAATTGGCGCGCCCGCGTGTAGTTGCGCAGCTTCTTCCGTTCCAAAAGCGGCAACCCCCAACCACATTTTGTGCACTTTCGGTTGACGTGTTGCTCGCACATGCGCACCCAGACCGCATCGTCGTCGGCTAGCAAGCGCCACCTCTGGCTGACCTGGGCGGCTTTGGTGAGGCTCACGGTGTCGAGGAAGCAGAGGACCTTTTGCGCAATCTCGACGGGCAGGGCAGCGATGAAGTCGATCTTGAGGGCTTCGCCCACCTCGCGGGAGACAAGCGACAGCTGGGGGAAGCAGAGCTGGGCGAGGACCCCCTGCAACATGAGTTCGCGATGGCGCGACGGCGCAGCGGAGAACAACGACCACACGTGGGTGATGGCTTGTTGATCGGCCGAGGTGAGCTTGTCCAGCTCCTGTTGTATCATGACCATCTTGGCCTCGTCGGCGGCTCGTCGACATTTCGAGTCGGGTCGGTGGCGGTAGCAGTATTTCGTGTTTGGGTTCTTCTCTCTCGCCGACTGCTCGTTTCTCGATCTCCCGACGGGCGCGTACATGGCCGGAATGTGCTCCTTCAAGAAGGGCGTGACCGTCTTCCCTATCAGTGATGACGACATGTTGGTCAGGCTGCCGCGCGACCGATGCCGTGCCTCCTCCTCTGGCCGTAGGTGATTGCAGTTTTTGGTCGTGTCCACCGCCTGATCTTGGTCGTCGACCTCCCGGTTGAGAACTGGAGTAATTTTATGTCTCGTTGTGGATCGGTCTCTCAGGGGCGCCTGGTCGGCGTCATCTGTTGAGGGTTCGATGCCATCGTGCCTCGGGTGCGGCGGGTGGCCATGGGGGATGGTGGAAGATTGGAATCGTTCCATAGGGGCGGCAGGGCGGGAAACGCAAGCAAATGGGTTTCTTGCGTTGGTACCAGATTAGATGGCCCGTGCAAGCATTGGGCTCGCTTGCCAGTGACGGTCAGGCTGAGCCGATTGCGTGCTGCTGCTGATGGTGGTTGAGACGCTGACCCTGTGTCAGGACTGGCCGGGTCTCGGAGCGGTCAAGCGGCCGGGTAAGTGGTAGAGAAGCGGCAGGGTGGCACGCAATGGGCTGCTGGTACTTCGCAATCGAGGGGCGGTAGGAAGGCAGGGTTGGGCAGCGAGCGGCGTTGCAGGCGATGCAAGGGAGACTTGGAACTGGGATCTCGTCAATCTGAGTCTATCACAGCCCGCTGATTCAATTGTTGCGTTCGTCTGTAGTTGGATCTGCTCCCCGCCATCGGTCGGGAAAATGGTGACTATAATGGTCACAAAAGTACAAACGCCACCGCAACAGGGTTGAACTGTGCTTGGCCGAGGGATTGTTGCGTCTGGTCGACTTGCGATATGCTGGCTGTTCGAGTGCGACACTTGGTGCAAGAAGCAGGCGGAATGGCGAAATCGGATGGTGGAGCTGCTTTGCGTCTTCCTACCAGAAATTGCGTTATCGCCAGCGGCCTGGTCTGTGCTTCCCGCTGCTGCCCGTCGCTTCGGGTGCGGGGAGGGTCGCAGTTGTTAGTGCTCGCCCCAGCTGAGGCCCTCACTAACTGTTTGCTGAGGTGCAACGAAGAGGCACAATGGAATTTAGAATTCGCCCTAAGGATTAAAAAGGGTATGAGGCATTGTTAATGCTTCCCATTGACTGAATTTGACATCCAAGCACCTTGAATCCACGGCTGCCCACCTGTGCCTCATGTCGGGAACGGCACCTCAACTAACATCGGGGACCCACCTGAAGAAGGTGGACCATGACCGGGAATGTCTCGCGTGATGGTCACTCGAGTTCCCCGACACCCTCGAATGAGCAAACAACGCCAAATCATCGAATTGTTACTCAACCCTTTCTCTGGATGACTTTACCATTGTCGCGAACCTCCTTTCTGGGAAGGAAATGAATCGATGGCATTTTGTCAAGTTCGTCCTTTGTTAATCAAGAAGGGCCCAGTGCACTATCCGAAGGGAAGAGTCTCTTCATTTCAGCTGGTGTGTATTTAATGGTGGGTTGTGTTGCAGCACACACATTGAGCTGCCGAGATGCCGGTGGCGACCAATTGCTCCCCGAGTTTAATAAAGTGTGTCTTTTCCCAGAACTTGAAAACTACCAGGCTACTCAATGAACAGCCTTGTTGAGGCTTGGATTTTTGAGTCACTGAGCCTCAAATGCTTGGTCTAGAAGGATTTTACCAAAAGGAATGGTCCTCGAACTGTTTGCTTCTCACAATTTGCAACTTCTCCAAGTCTGGGTGTTTAGAAATGCCCGATACAGTACATCGCGCTTTGATAGCAGCCCGTACAGATCTGTACCTGAGCCCAAAGGATGCAAAGTCTCCCACTGTGTGCGGCAAACGCCAGGGCCGTCTTGGCGCGTTTTTTGTGCTGGCGCATCACACGTAAAATTTGCGGGCGCGTGCCTGGGCGGTAAGAATCAGTAGACGGCGCCATCAAATGCCACAACAGGCCGCAATTGAGGCTATTCGCATCGCTGTGGTGATTGATTTCGACTGTTTTGTTGTTGTTTCTTTTTTTTTTTTTTTTTGGTTTTGTTTTGAATGGAAGTTCGGGGCCCGCACGCGCGCCCCTGAAATCCATCCTCAAGCGACCCGGCCAGCTCCCCAGATATATCCAACAACTTCGTCGCCCACTTCGTCGTATTATTCGCTTCAACATGCCAACCACAAGGCGCTCGAAGCGCGCGCGGGCTGATACGACTAGCGATACCGTCAGTACGCAATCTTCTGGTGTTGAGGCGGGCAGCCAGTCGACCGCCGTCTCGACACGCAAGACGACGCGGATCACACTGGAGAGCGCCAACCAGCCTTCGACAACCGCATCCGAAATTATCAATCCCACCGATTCGCAGGCGAATGCGCGACCGAAACGAATACGTGTGATGACGAAGAAAGCGGCATCCGTAAAGACGGCGGCGCCCGCGAAGAAGGCTGCACCGAAGCGCCCCGCCACGGAGATCGTGCCCACGAAGAAAGCGCCTCCCAGCCGTATTGTCGTTCGAAAGCCGACCAACCCCCCGTTCGAAATACCCCAGTCGGAATATATTGTCGATAGCGATGTCGAAGAGCTGCAATTACCAGCCCCGGGGCGGGCACAACAGCCAGGCGGACCCAGGATTGTGATCCGGGAGTCAACCGTGATTCCCGAGTCGCATACCAGTATGTATAGCGAAGCTGGTAATCCTTTTGACGACGACGATGTCGTCGTTACTAGTGCCCAGTCGATACCGCCCCGGTCGACACCCAAATCGACACCCAAACGCCCGTTGAAACGAATAAGCGAGCCTCCCCCCCCTCCTCTACCGCCAAAGGCCGTCTTTGTCAAGATCCAGCGGGATGTCAAGTGGTTCCGTAACCAATATCTTGCAACATTCAAGATCCCGCCGCCAGTCCCCTCGCGATACCTTTGTCGGAAAGCGATTCCCGTTGATGTAACTGCGGCGAGTGTCGACGAGCCGTTTGATGGGTTCAGCCTTCAACAGGCGGTTGGGCACAGTTACGCAAATTTGATAGATGATGTACCACTGCTGGTTCAGAAGGCTGGATTGGAGGGCTCAGTCGCCCTTATATCCTGTCAAGTCCACCTCAGTAAACAGGCTAGCCAGCGCAAGAATCAAGACATTACGATATTTAATGTGGCGCCTCGGTCGCCTTCGTCTGTTGGCTACATCGATTTTGACTCGCTCATGACCCAGATGGTAGAGGCAGGGGGTACCGAGTTTGAACTAACTCTGGAGTTCGAATTTGAACTTGCGGCGCCATCCAACAACGACGATATAGTTGTCGGCGCCGCGCCTTCGCCGATTTATGGCATCTCAACGCCAACGCCGTCCGCGTTTCGAACCCCCAGTTTTCGATCAGGGCGCCCGGGTACGCAGATGCCCAGAGCCGCATCCGCGGCGCTGACTCCCAACAGAGGCACCTCAAAGGCGCCATCCACGCGCAAAAGCACCAGCAATACGATGTTGGCGGACCTGCTCAAGCGACACGAAGCTGATATCGAGATGAGCCGCGAACAAGGAGCCAAGTTGACACGGCTTCTATACGTGGACCTCCACAACCGCTGGAAGTGTGGCCTCGGCGTCAACTGCAAGAACTACCGCAACGGCATGGCGAATATCTGCTGCTGGCGTGACCAGGGCGACAAGAAGCATCACCAACTTACGAATGCCGAACTCTCGATGTGGGTAGTAGCGATTCGAGAAGGGAGGACTACAATAGAGAACCCGCCTGTCGCATTCCACAGGAAATGGCGCCAGGAGGCGGATCAGGAACGACAACAACAACAAGAAACCTCAAATTCAGGGGTGGGTCAGCCGTTCAACGTAAGAGGGAGGGTCCCGCGCAATGCGATGATACCAACCTTCCACGTCAATATTAACAATAACAGTAACAACACTGGCTCGGCTAGTACACCTCCTGTATCAGTATGGGGCGCCAACAACACGCCTTACCCGCTACCGACGGGCACTATGAGTACCTCGTCATGCCATTCGGATTGACCAACGCGCCGGCGACATTTCAAGCCGCTATCGAACACGCAATTCGGCATTGCCTCGATAAATTCGCAGTCTGTTATTTGGATGACATTCTCATCTACTCCAAGACACTCGAAGAACACAAAGAACACGTGCGGCAGGTGCTGGATGCACTGCACGAGCACAAGTTGTCAGTCAACAAGGACAAGAGCGAGTTTCATGTCAAAAAGACAGTGTTTCTGGGTTACGAGATCTCCCCAGGATGGGTCAAGATCGAACCCGAGAAACTGGAAGCTGTCAGGACGTGGCCAACACCAACAAACGCCACCGAGGTCAGAGGATTCGTCGGATTTGCCAATTTTGTCAGGATGTTCATCAAGAGTTTTGGCGACATCGCGAGACCTCTACACGAACTCACGAAAAGGATACCACATTCCAATGGAAGCAGGAGCACGAGCAGGCTTTTCAACAGATCCGCGATGCGATTATCGCCGATCCAGTACTCATGCTGTCTGATCCGAGCAAGCCTTTCGAAGTCGAAGCTGACGCTTCGGACTTCGCGATCGGAGGACAACTTGGTCAAAAGGACAAGGACGGCAAGCTGCACCTAGTTGCGTTCTTCTCCAAGAAGCTCGAGGGGCCAAGACTCAACTACCCGATCCACGACAAGGAGCTTCTCGCAATCATCGAAGCATTTCAGGAGTGGAGACCATACCTCAGCGGCACAACACACGAAGTTCAGGTGTACACGGACCACAAAAACCTACGGTACTTCACCACCACGAAGGTATTGAATGGACGACAAACTCGGTGGGCAGAATTCCTGTCCGAATTTAATTTCACGATCCACTACAAGAAAGGCTCGGAAAATGCACGAGCGGACGCCTTGAGTAGGAGAGCGGATCACCACGACAACACGTCTGAAGCCTCATCACCATTGCTACATCAGCAGACAGACGGATCGCTACGGCACGCTTCCCAACCGACTGAAGACTACGAGATCGCAGCACTTCAGCAGCAGTCGGAAGATCCCGAAGCCAGGCCTCTACAACCGTTTGTAGAATGCTGTGCGGTCTTCAGGGAGCAGAGATTGGAACGAGATTTCCAAGGGACCATCGCGGACGACGAGCGCGATGCATGGCAAGAAGAGCCAGAATCCAAGATCGCAGCATTGCGACTTGAAGGAACGAGACTCTGGTACCACGACAAGGCCTACGTCAGGCCCAGCGACCAAAAGGAGCTCATTCGAAAGATCCACGAGTCAAAACTCGGAGGGCACATGGGAATCGGCAAAACAATTGCGAAAGTCAAGCAGAATTACGACTTCCCAGGAATCAAGCAAGCGACAGAAGAAGTCCTGGCAGAGTACGGCCACACAAGCCGTATGGACTGTTGCAACCATTACCAGTCGCAGAACGACCATGGAGCTCGGTGACGATGGATTTCATCACCAAGCTTCCAACATCGAAGGACTCAAGCGACGGGAACGAAGTACGACAGCATCCTCACAGTGGTGGACAGACTCACCAAGTGGAGCTACTTCCTTCCCTACAAAGAGTCATGGTCAGCAGAACAACTCGCAGACGTGATCTATCGCAACGTCACTTCGGTCCATGATGGCCGGAGGAATGGATCACGGATAGAGACACGAAGTTCGCATCAAAGTTTTGGCAAGCTCTGATGACGAAGCTGGGTACGAGGAGTAAGCTTTCGACCGCTTGCCACCCACAGACGGACGGACATGTGACTGCAGCTGCCGTCGGAGTGCACTGTGGCTCCACTTGGTTGGGCACGTGGCCACACGCGCTGGCATTTAACTCCTGTATCGCGAGAGCTCTTCCAGCTTCTCTTCCTTTTCTCCCCATGTTGTGATTAGCAGAATAGAGTCTCATCGGCAGTGCCCTCGCGCCTCGCCTAAATGTCCCTCGTCTCTCACAGGACAGACGGAACGACTCAACTAGATTGTCGAACAATACCTACGGTTATATGTCAACTTGCAACAGGATGATTGGGTTGAGCTGTTGCCAACGGCGCAACTCGCCTACAACACCACCGTCACGGAAACCACGAGGGTCACGCCATTCTTCGCGAATTACGGCTACGAAGCAGATTTGCGACAAGGGCCCGACGTTTCGGTGCCCAGAGCGGCAGTCAAGGCCGACAAAATGAGCTCGCTGCATGCGATGCTCAAAGAAGAACTCGAGTTCGTACGAACCAGGATGAAGAAGTTCTACGACAGAAACAGGCTCGAGGGACCTCGCCTAGAAGAGGGGGGCAAAGTTTATCTCACTTCTCGGAATCTTCGCACGAAGCGACCAAACAGGAAGCTCGACTTTCGCAAAATCGGACCATTCAAAATCGACAAAAAGATTTCGGAGAATAACTACGCGCTTGCGCTACCCTCAACAATGCGACTACGGACCAATGTCTTCCACATCTCGCTTCTGGAACCAGCGCCCAATAACGCACGACTCGACAAGGACGCCGAGGCGGAAGATGAGGAGGAACTCTGGGACGTTGAAGAAATCTTGGATTCACGCATCACGAAAGGACGAATCGAGTATTTGGTCAAATGGGCAGGATTCGGCCCCGAAGACAATTCATGGCAACCCGCTATGAACTTCAACTGCCCCAAGGAGTTGGAGGACTTCCACCGGAGAAACCCGGATCGGCCACAGGGGGACCAAGCGACAGGTCGCCCCCGGCGGAAGAATCGTTCAAAGAAAAACTAGGGGAACGATTAATACGGGAGCAGGGGAAGGAAGGACAACGAGCAACATACTCTTGCGCCCAAACGAGAGGGTCGACATCGGCGGATGGGATCCCAATAGCTTCCCAGTCCAACCCGCCAAAGCCACCAGCCTGTTGCGCCAGACCCACAGCCTCTTGGAGGGGGGACATGGGAGCAGGGGAAGGAGGCTCCTCCTCCGCCTCCAGACGCTCCATCCCGCGACGAAACGCCTCCGCACCACGATCCCGCAACCGTTTCTGCTGGGAGCGCAAACGCGACAAGCGACCCAAGGCCTCCGCAAGTGCTCGCTCTGCCGCCTCAATATCCTTCGCCACCCTTTCCTGCTCGGATAAATTTGATAAAACTAGGACGATCAGTAAGGACGACAACGCCGACGCAATCATACTCACGGGTATTGGCCACGTTAGGGCCGCTGCATTTCTTGCCCGCCCGCACGCCGTTCAAACATTTCTTCCCGTCTTCCAACATCACGCACCGCTTCCGCGGTGTCGCATCCCAACAACGTGTGACGAACCTACTTCAGGACCCTGTCCTGTTATGGTTCAGCTTCGGTCGAAGGTAGTCTCTCAAGGGTGCTTAGGTTCGGTGCAGCCAAAGGGTGCACAACAAAGGCTTGTCTCAACAGTAGGCTCTCGAGCTTGTCGCGAACTGTAGTTGTGATTGCTAACTGGAGAACTCCCGGAGCTCTCCAGAACGAGTGACTATATACTATCTAGTCTTCCACACATTGCGATGGTAGCCCATGGTAGCCTGTCTACCATTGTCTACCTTGTGGGTCGGTTCCTAATGATTGGCTGGCACAGTCCTGCTGTGCCCCGCACGGCCCGTCATGCGCAGCGGCCGATTCATGACACGATGCCCCTCCCCAACGTCCCTCGACCCCGAGAGATCGCTTATTTCCTGCGTACGCGTCAACACTCCTTCTTGTTCGTGAGTCCTCCACCCCCTGTGAGTTCGTTATGGCTAATCGAATGAGCGTCGCTCGCCGTGACCTACAGCGTGAACGTGCTGTCCTTGCTTCGGAGATCGATCGTCTTGGTTGCGAAGTAGTCATGCCTTGCCAACGTTGTGTCACGAATATGCCAACAAGTGGGACCACAGGGGCGCGGGACGTCCCGAGCCAGTCGCTTGAGGAACCAATCACGGGGCGCTCTAGGAAGCACCTGACAGCTAGTCAGGGACTGCTCTCACATGCTCTCGAGAGCCACCAAGAGCAGTGGGCTCTAGCAAGCTCTTGAGAGCTGGCTAGAGCTCAGAAATTAGATAGTATATAGTTACTCGTTCTGGAGAGCTCCGGGAGTTCTCCAGTTAGCAATCACAACTACAGTTCGCGACAAGCTCGAGAGCCTACTGTTGAGACAAGCCTTTGTTGTGCACCCTTTGGCTGCACCGAACCTAAGCACCCTTGAGAGATTACCTTCAACCGAAGCTGAACCCTAACAGGACAAGGCCCTGAAGTAGGTTCGTCACACGCGCTAATCGCTAATCGGCCGTTACCATGACACCGGAAAAGTCGGTCCTAGCAAAGAAGCAAGTTCATCTTCACGAGCACCTCGGTATATCCGCCCCATTCGAACGAGCGGTTGGATCACATATTCAGGTTTCACCACATTTCGATTTGTTGATGACATGGAGACGTGTTGATGCATTGGTATCGTAGGCTCGTAGCTTCGCACCAAGTCGTGTCTCTATTTGCCGTATCTCTGTGATGATATAACTAACTATCTGAATTCTCATTTATACCAAGTATATTGCCAAAGCGCTATATGGATAGCGAATTTGGAAAAGTGATGCGAGAGCTGTGGATAACCAGGATGCTCCAAGAGTCGTTCCGCGCAGCGGCGTGTTCGGGGGTTCGGCCAAGTTGTGCTGGGCTTTGAACCGAAAATGAAGTTCATGAAGTTTAGACAGTAACAGAACGAATTAATCTTTGAGGGTAATTAATTCCCAGAGATACAAATTAGATTAGCTAACTTTGGAAGGGTTGATTTTCCAATATACATCATCGAGGCGTAGTTGTTGATGATGAATTGCTCAAGGGAGGTAGATTTCTTCTTGAGGTGGTGCGTGGACCTTTAGCATAAAGCAAAATTTTGGTTATCAAGACAAATAAGAAAACACCTAAGGCCCTAGTTAAACCCAGCAACGGTACAATCCTAGATGCGCCTGCTTCTCGAGCACACATTAACTAAACCCGCTACCCCGTCTGCTTGACAATGTCTTTGTCCTTTCCTTTCTCCAGCTCCTCGTCACCCCTAGTCTTGCTTGATGAACGAATGCCTCACCACTACCCTCGACACCCTCATCATCAGCCTCACAATACAGGGTAATCCCCCCCAACGCTCTCGCTGCCTCTCATCTTCATATCCTCCTCCTCGTCCCTCTCCTGTTTCACCCACCCGTCCTCAACATGAACACTCTCTTCCCAACCCTCTTCGTTATTCACAACCACCTCCACATCACACATACTCCCACCCATCCCTCACAATCTCCCCAACCCCCTCATGCCATCACACCGCCTCCAACCTCCTCACCCCCACTGTCATCACGATCCCCCCCACCCCCGCCACCACCCCCTCCATCGCCCGCGCCGCCCTCTCCGCATTCTCCGCCCTCTCCGCCTTCTCCGACCTCTCCGCCCTCTCCGCCCTCTCCGCCCTCTCCGCCCTCTCCGCCCTCTTCGCCCTCTCCGCCCTCGCCTTCTCCACGCGCCACTTCGCCGTGGTCGCCGCCCGCCGCGGCCGGCACGCCGGGCACCCCTTGCGCCGCAGGTCCACGTTGGGCTGCTGGCACCAGATGCACAGCCCCTGCGCGTGCAGGCGCGCGTTGCGCTGCCCGCGCTGGCCTGTGCCGTAGCTGGAGGGGCGGCTGGAGGTGGAGGTGGTGGTGGTGGTGCTGCGGGTGGGGATGAGCATGGGGTGGTAGGTGGTGTTTGATGGGTGGCGGTTGGCGGTGGTGCTGGTCGTGATGTTGTGGTGGTTGTTGTTGTTGTTGATGATGGGAGTGGTGGTTATGGGGAGGGAGGCGGTGGGGTAGGTATAGAAGCCCTGCGTAAGCTGGTATCTCTGCCCCATGCCCGCGTTGAGAGGAAGGCGGGTGGTGTTTGATGGGCCGCGGCTGGTGGTGGTGCTAGTTATGGGGTAGGCGTAGAAGCCTTGTGCTGGTTGGTACCCTTGCCCCGTGCCCAAGTCGAGGACTGGCATCGGGTTATAAAGCTGGGCTTGCCAGTTCAGGCTTAGCTGAGCGCTGCTATGGCTCTGCGGGATCTGGCCGAACATCTGACCAGGGAGCGGCGTAAGGTTTGGGCCGACTTGAGGGTTGTTGGTGCCGTGATGGGGCAGCAAACTGTTTCCGAAACCATGGGTGGACCGATCGAGATAGACACCGAGGTTCGTGTTGGGTTGGTGGCCCGGTGGCGCATCGCGATGTACTGGAATAACGTTGGAGGTTATTGTTGGGTTTGGAGAGATAGAGAACCAGGGCCTTTCTGGGCTGCCCGGTCCGAGTTGTTGTAACTGATATAGCGCCCGATCGATCGCTTCCCGTTCGTTGTCGGTGCTGCTATGTGCAGGTTGGTGGCTGACAGAAGGGGTCTGAAGGCTTTCGGCGTAGCGCTCGCGCGCAGCATTGTGTCCGGGGGCGACCTGGCGCGCTGCACAAAGATCCAGATCACACCCGCAGACTTTAAAGTCTCGTTCCGGGGCGCCGCAGGTGACGCATGGGAGGGTGAATTGCCATTTTCAGGGCAAGGCAATGGGTTGTCAGCAGTCTTGTTGTGTCGTCGAACGAGCAAGAGAGAAGTATGTGTGTGTGTGTGTGAAATGTTGTGGAAATTGTGGTGAATTCGAAGCCACAACAAATGCCTTTTGAAAGTAAGTCGGTCGGTCGAAGAGAGTTCAGATGGGATAGACTTGCGGAGGGAAAGGGGGGGAGTGGCGGGATACAAAGACAAGAAAACTATCACAAGGTACTCTCTGTGGCTCCATAACTTATATATTCCACGAAATAGAGCTGTGGGAATTGAGGATGGGAGGTTGTGGACTGTGTATATACCTTGAACAGCTATATTGTGTATGTTCACCAGGATGGGGTGGGTGTAATTGGTAGAATGTGGAGAATCACCATGTTCCAAACTTCCATGATGAGGTCAACTTCTAAGCTCATGAGGTCAACTCCCTCGTCTGGTGTTGTTCTCCGAGGATCTTCCCTGCAAGGAGATGTCGTTTATTTACTTCTCGTACAGCTCGACCAATAAAACAAAAAACAGCACGATAGAGTTTCAAGCTCCCGGTCGTTGACAATGTCTTTGTTCTAACAAACCTCGACCTGTTCGTGCAGATACACGGACTCGGGATGGATACTGAAAAAAGGATAAAAAACACAGGGGCCAGTTTTCCCATTTCATTTACATGTATGTTCACCAGAGACAGGTATGGGGCACGATTAGTATGATGAAGGCCATCCGTTAGGCGTCGGTTTCCAATGTCCCGGCACCTTGATGCTCTTGGAGGAGTTGAAGCACCTGAACATTCCACCCTAGAGCGAACTCGGGAACCCGCCGCGAGACGTGGGCACTGGGCGAGCCTCACCGTGGGAGTGATCACGGGATGTTCAAGGGTAGGTGGACGGCGGGAGCGGTGGAGTGGCAAGGCGACATCATGACTCATGAAGGACACGCAAAGGGCATGAAGGCACCGCGAATTAAACAACGCCATTGTATATGAGTCTCTCTAATTGTACGGGGTCGCCAACCTAATTGTACGGGGTCCGCACAGACTACATGGATTGCGCCACACCTGAGACGGGCTGAGCCTCGGGTTATCGAAGTGTCGACACCGACGCCGGCACGAGGACGTGGACGGGGCTAGGGGGATCGGGGGACTACAGGAAGACGGGGAAGAGGTCGCGGACGGGGACGAGGCTAGCAAAATAAAGTAGACGAGACCCAAGGAGGTACAGGTCCAGCGTCTAGTGCAGCCATACAGCTCGGGACGCCAGAACCGGACACCCCCTTAGCTAGTTGACAGATAGAAATCGATGCCTGAGTTCCCTGCAATAGATCCCCTCAGGTGTGGCGCAATCCATGTAGTCTGTGCGGACCCCGTACAATTAGGTTGGCGACACCGTACAATTAGAGAGACTAATATACATACTCCAAAACCACAAACGTTATTTATGTACACATAACTGAACACCCGTAGACAGCCAGCCCACCAAGACCGTCCTTCTCCGTTAACTATAAGCCTAACCCCAACCCCTCCCCCGAAGCAAGACCACCCGCATTATGAACACACCAAATATACACCAGCCACTCGGTTTCCCCGGCTAGGGAATGTATCGCATCTCGCCATGACGCCGACCGCCACCTGCCCCGCTTCTATGCAACAGAAGAGAGTTTCGGGATGTGTTCGAACCGGGGTATTCGCGCTGCGACGAGACGAATGAAGCTTCAGAGAAACATGAAAAAAGAACTGACAATTGACGGCCCGTGTATGTATATATGCCAACGTCGCATGCAATGCCCCAAATGCCCCCAAATCGCTGCAGCGAAGATATCTCTAAGAGCCGCGCCCCATTACGACAAATGGAAAGGGTATTAAATCGTTGTTTCCCAGGCCCAGCAGCACCAAAAGTGACCCATCGCTGCTGGCCCAGAACGAGCTTTCACCTGTCCCAACAACCCCTGAGATGTTTTTTTAGTTTCAAGGCGGCGGCTGCGACCGCTCACCGTCATGGTGCCTCGGCAGCTGGGCACCACCGTTCGAAAAAGCGCGGCTGTGGGCACGGCTGTGGCCGCGGTTGTGGCCGAGCCCCTTCTCGGCCATGCCGTCCTTGCCCTCGTTGCCGTCCTCGTCCTCAAACACCTTCTTCTCCAGCCACTGGGTGGCGCGGGCGCAGGCGGTGTCGACCCACTTCATCCAGGCCCAGGCGGCGGTGTAGGTCAGGGCGGTGAAGACGAGGATGGCGACCATCTTGTGCGGGCGACCCTTGGGCTTGAGCCACACCTGCTCCTGCTGCGAGCCGTCCGGGTTCTTACCGGCCGGTTTCCAGGGCTCGCCGCTGATGCCGTAGACAATCCACATGCCGACCGTGCGCAGGATGGTGCCGTGCGTGAGGTAGACGGCGAAGGAGTGGTGGTCGAGCTAGATGAGCACGCGGTGCGACAGGGCCTTTTGGAAGAGCGGGGACAGGAAGAGCGAGATGGCCGTGCACCCGATGAAGAAGGCCGACGAGCGCCGGAGCAGGTCGGTGCCCCGCGGAACGAGGATACTGCCGGTGCGGTGACCATCCACGGGGTTAACGAGGAACCGGTGCAGGCTGAGGGACCAGGGAGCCCAGTCCTCGTGTTCGGCGGGGTAGGATCCGACGTAGCCGCCAATCAGGAAGATGAGCGGGGCGAGAACGTAGGTGCAGAGCCGTTGGTGGTTGGAGATGAGGTTCTGGGTGGGGCGGTGCTGGGACAGCTCGGCGAGAAGGGTGCCGAGCGAGAGCATGGCGCCGAACGTTTCTGTCACCTTGTTAGTTGTCTGTTGCGCGGGTGCCCTCGTGGCATGTGCGCGGATGACGTACCAGTCAGTGCGTTGACATTAATCAACCAGTACAGGACCATCAGAACATGCACCAGCATCCGATATTTGAACCGCATCCCGATCGTAGCCGCTAGCACGATGTAGACCTGGAAGGCACCAATGAGCAGCGGGCGCATCGCCCACTGGTGTCTGTCATACAGGTTTTCTGTGTTTGTCCACGTCGTGATGGACGTGTTGATCAACCTCTTGATGTTTTCCCCAAACGGCAAGGGATCCGGCGCGTCGAAGCGGACCCAATGGCTGTCACAACGGTTCGCCGCTGTGTAACCGCCCAAGACCGACATGATGAAGCTGATGAAGGTCGCGATCAGGGCTGGCAGGATGAGCCGCGGCGGGCGGCGAAAGGCGCTACGGGCGACCGATTTGAGGGCGGCGGGCTGGTTCCCTTGTTGGTACGCGAGTTTCACCGGCTTGTAGGCGCACACGAAGCCCGTCAGAAAGGCGAAGATGGGCACACCGATACGGCCCTGCCACGGGATCCGCAGGTATGGGAGCTGTAGTAGCCTCGGGGGCCCATTTTTGTAGTCGGCGGGCCAGAACAAGGGGAAGTCGAGGGCTCTCGCGATATGGGTAGCGATGACGAGGACGGAGGTAACACCTCGAAGGCCCTGCACAAGATAGCCGGGTCAGTCAAAGTTGGAAAGGGGACGCGCGGGGGAAGGGCCCAGCAGCATGTGAAAATGGCCGGCGTTGTCCGTGTTTGTGTGGGCTGCAACGCTGCCACATGAGGAACTCCTGACGGGACGACGCACCTCAACCCATTTGATGTTCCGTTGGCTTGGTCTTGCGCTCATGATGTTTGCTTAATACCACCTCGGAACCGGTCCAACAAAGAAAGTAAAAAGGTAGAAAAGACAGGGAAAAAAAAGCCAAACAAGAAGTCGATGGCCACCGATGATCCCCCCCACTGTTCGGTGCTGAGTGAAGAAAGTGGAGAAATCAATGCGAGACCGAGACGCTTCTAGGACCAGATCCAGGGCAAGGGATCAGGTATGGGCGAGTTCAAGACGTTCGTTCGGTCGTTTCGTAAGAGAATGATGGTGGGCGTCGTCGTTGGGAACAGATAGTGACAGAGGGCCGGGAGGGTCCAAGAGTCGACAGCGACGCCGGAGGCATCTGACGACTGCGCGGGTTGGCGAAATAATGTGGAGATTACGAATCACACGGACCTGTATCCGCCTTTCTCGACCCCGACGTCCCGGTACTCGATGGTTTATGGATTTTTGCAACGTCTTTCGCGGCGCCGAGATGCGGGTCGGCAAAATGTGCGAGTTTTCGAACGTGGTTGAACCTTGGACGACAGGTGAGGTGGCTCAGGGCATCCAGCAGATTTGCTGGCGATTTTGGTGGCGGGCAAGGAAACGGATTTTTCATCTCTGGGTGACGGCTTGCCCGCCTCGCGCCAAGGGTACCGCCAACCCACAGCGATCCTGGATTGGCGTGCCATTCTACAATTGCCAAGACGGCCAAGATGAGCTGGGACGAGCAGAGTTCAGGGGCTGTGGAGATGCATGACCATGAGTTTCTTTTCTTCAACCACTCTCGAGCCCCTCGAGAACCACCCACTGCGGCTGGCTGTGTCGGTTCCCGCCAACCAGAAAACGCAGCAGGCAGCCGCTAAAAGGGGCTAAAGGGGACCAACGGGCAGTGGGTTTAGAAGCCGCATTCACCAGTGGTTGTCAGTCACGTCACTGAGGAGCGCCTTTGCCGCAGCGCAGCACCGCTGAAACAAGGAATAAGGAGTCGGTTTTTTTCTGGTAACCTCGGCCTGTGCCGAATTACCGGCTTTCTGACGGGCTTTCTGCAGATTCTCGGTTACAAAGCGCCAACTGAGAGATTCGGTCATCTGATGGGATGCGTGATTGACGGTTTCTTTGCAATTCCGATTTTATTCACCCCGGTTGGTGCGTGTGGTCCCTTGATGCATGGGAAATGGGAGCCCGCTTTCATTTCGGCTCTGACAATCTGATCTGAGCCAATGTCGTCACTGCTTCCCAAGCTCAATGCCATTTTTGCTCTTTCCTATTCCGGTTGGCAACGCAACCCGAAGATCCCCAAGATATCAACGGAATCATGTCCCTTGCTCGTTTCGAGATCGGACCACGGCGCCGTTATCCTCCGGGCCTCCTGGAGGACAGAACTGCAAGTACGAAGTACTTCGTACCCAAGCCTGTTGTTGCCCAAACATCGGAAGCTAAAGGGAGAAGTTGCATGATTTCTTGACGGCCCGGGCCTTGGCAGCCGCTCCAACTCACAGGTCGTGTTCCGTTTGTCCCACAGGCCACGCAAGTCTCCAAACAATGCAGGTTTTGCTGCAGCTACTACGTACGAGCGCCTTTATGGACTCGCGCATCTTCGCGAAATTACCAAGCCGGCCCCGATTACCTCGCCCCGATTGGCATTCACCCGGAGGGGACCCGGCGCCCCGGACATCGGCCAGAACTCCGGACTTCTTTCGGAACAGCCTGGCCTCTTCTTAATCATAGGCAGCATAGGAGTCGCCTTTGACAACAACAATAGCGGCACGGTTGTTGATGCGGCCTCCCGCTCCGTGCCACATCGATGCCGAGGTCTGTAGAGGGAGATTCTTGTTCTGGTACCAAGTAATCTGTACTTCTTCACACAGGTATCTGGTCCACGCAAACAACCTCCACACAACACCGCCAATTTCCCCACCCCCAGAACCATATAGAGTTCTGACCGCCAAGTCCCGCCCACAACCCGTTGCTGCCGAGAGAGGCACGGCGGTGAGAGGAATCCTTCGCATTTTGTATGTACCAAGACATAGTATTTCTGCAGTCAGCTGACAAGAGCCGCCGTCGGGTGGTTGTTCCCGGATGGGGGTTGCGTGCTCAAAAGGAAATCAGAAAACCCCCGGCGAGGGTGGAGCCGTGTCGCCAACATGACCGGTTTCGTTTGTTACCCGGTCCGCTGTTCTCTTCGTCTGAGGAACTCTCCCACAATCCGTCCATTCGTTCCACAGTCTCGGTCGCTCAGTGCGGAGCCGTCTCGCCCCCCCGGCATGTTTCAGCACCCGGTCAAGCCGGTTTAGCCACCAGTTAGGTCATGATCAACCTGAGATCTTCAGGGACACTTACCGCCAGGTTCGCAATCATCTTCGCGACACCGCCACGCATGTGATGCAGATATTTTCTGCCAGACGCGTCCTCGGCGGCAGTCCGTGGCAGCGTTGACATGTTCCTGTGTACACCGGGGACAGCAAAGTTCCTTTCTCTCCAGACTTCCCCATTTCGGGAGTTCGCGCCACGCCATGCTCTATCGGTCACGGAACCGCCCTCAAATGGCATCCGCCAATTCGCATGGTCCCACATAATACGGAAGAAAGATCAAGCGGCGGCTCTCCTTTCGGAGTCGGTTACCTGACGGACTACTTACCCCCCCACGTGACGGCTTCCATACATCAGTGGCGTGGCCCTAACCAGCCAAGCCAGGAAATAAAATCAATTTATCTGACAATTGAGCCCCTTGCATTAATTTGCATAACCTTTTACCGTTCACCGTAGGGCAACCCATCCCACCATACGTATCTGTATGAAGGTATTCCCAGATCTCAACCCTAACCCCTCAAATACACCTCTACTATAAGCAAGCCACCACACTCTGATATCTAGAGAACAACGACACAGGCACTAATATCTATATTAATACTGCATCACTCAGTCGCATCAATTCAATCGCAATCGCATCCATTCAATCGCGTGCATCGCGTTTGGAAAGCGCGATGCACGCGTTGCTGTTGTTGTTGGGTGGGGCGCAGTAAAATTGACTGTTTGGCACCGCTGGCACACCCTGTCACATAATCAAGCACTCGCCCACCTTTTTCCAACTGCTGGATTTCCCTTTCTCACACTTTTACCATCCACAACGACGAAAACAAGCCGTTTGTGCCCTAGCGCTTGATTGCAGACAACATCCTCTCAAATGACGTCCCAATTCGACCCTGATATTGCTATCGTGGCCGCGATGGAGGCCGACGAGCAACTGTTTACCACGCGGGTTGAGAGCGCGCCAGACGACGAGGTCGCGATTGAGGTCGACGATCACGACCTCTGTGGCACTCCTCCGATACATCCCAAAGAGCTTAGCAGTGGTAAGAGACAACCGCAGGCAAATAAGGACAACCCCCTACACCGCTCTGGCTTGACTAACCTCCTTTCCCTAGGCTCACCTCCGCAAACTCTGCCTCCTTCCGCCGCCCGCTCCTTGATTGACGTGCCCGACGATATTGCGCAGATTCGAGGTCAGATATTCGAGGGCAAGGAATGCGTGGCTTTTAGCGCGGAACAATGGGAAAAATACTGGCCGTTTTTCAACAACATGTACACCAAGTCGGGCAAGCCACGCGTTGGTAAAGACGGCATCACCAAGCAATACCTCGCCTGTCGCCTTTTTGCATCAAAAACAAAGGTCGCGAAGGCCACCACAGGAGAGCGCAACAAGCGGGCGCGTAACCCAATTGCGTGCCCAAAAACCGCTCGCAAAATCACACTTCCTGATGGTCAGGTCCGCTTTGAGCCAGTCGACCCTACCATTTCGCATAATCACGACCTTGACACCATCGATAGTATTTCACGGCCACAGATCTTCAAGACGGCTGCGGGCCAGGAAATTGCCAAAGGCTACGCGCCAGCCGCCGTTCTTTCAAGCATCTGTGGCCACGGTGGGCAACAAGAAGGAATTCAAGCCTCCATTGCGATGGCTGGTGGCACATGGCTTTCGCGCCAGGATGTACTCAACGCTGGTCGACACTGCCGCAAAGCCAACCCTGACTCGCGTCAAGTTGGGCACGACTTCTTACCCACCACCCAAGTGGAAGAGGTTCAGCAGTTCCTGAGCGCTAAGTCGGCTACCGGCCAGCTTTGGCTCCACAAGGCGCTCAAGGCAACACGCTCGCTTGATGGAGAGGATTCTCCCGGGGTTATTTTCACCTCAGCCGAGCAACTCGCGGCCTTGCAGCGGCGAGGCCACATCACTTTGCTCGACGCCACCCACAACACAAATTGGCTTGGCTGGCTGCTCTACACTGTGATGGCACGCGATGAATGTGGCTCTTGGCTACCTGTCGGCCATTTTTTGACCGCCAAATCTGATGGCGATGTGGTTGCTGCGGCTCTCAAACAGCTTCGCTTGTGGATTGCGCAACACTGTGGTCAGGAATGGATGCTTCGCTACTTTCTTACTGACGACTCAGCAGTTGAGCAACGGGCAGTCAAGATAGCATTTGATGGATCTGGGCAGTCGGTTGAGCATCTGCTTTGCTCTGTACACTGTGAAAGAACCCTCCGGCGACGTTTTCAAGGGCCGCGAAACAGGGTGGTATTGGACCACATGCTTGCGGCGCTCAAGAACAGAAGAACCAGAGTTGGGTGCCAGGCCTCTCTCGACTCCGCCATCGCCGCAGTTGCCAGCCAAGCCGATGCCCAATACATCGTCGATCACTGGCAGAACCGGATGGAGATGTGGGCACACTTCGCGCGAGACCATTCGCCCTTATTGATGCAGGTTCGTTACCCCACCTTATCTTCCCTCCCCTTTTTGGTTATCACCCAGCGGAACAGATTTGGGGTTTCTGGTTCACTCTGCCGAATCGCGTTTGTAGTACTCTGTCAGTCTCTTATAGTCCACATAAGCGAGCAATGCCACATTTCCGTAAAGATGGGGTCAATGGCACAATTGGGTTTTTCCTATTGTGTACTGATCTGTGTTTTTTGTTTGTTAGATTGGGTCTACAAATGCGATCAAAGGTTACCACTCCGCCCTCAAATACAACAACAAGTCCATTCTACAGCGGTTTTCGCTCCTGGGCATCGTCAAGCATATCATTACTGTTGACCGGCAGTTCTTTGAGCGGGCAGCTAAAAACAAGAAGGATTTTCGAGGCAAGTCACTTCGGGAAGCAGCCCTTTACCCTGGCGTTGGCCGGTTTCCAGTGCCTGTTCAAATCCTTCTTGCTGTTGAGATCAGAGCTGGCCAAACGCTTGCCAACGACGGCGAGCTAGTAAGGCCTGGTTTGCTTGAGGGTATCACTGTCGATACCGAAGGGGACGAAGGGGGCTTTCAATGGGAATCAGCTCACTGTGACTGTCGCTGGTACAGGCGTTGGTTTCTCCCCTGCTCGCACCTTTGGCATCACCACTTCGTTAATGACAACCTCACATTGACGGAGAGCCGGTTACGCCAGTGGTCTCTGCAATGGGATGAGCATGGCTACGAGCTGTACGAAGCCGGCGTCTCCTACCACGCGCTTCCTGCGAGCACTGAAGCAGAGGCCATCTCCGCCACACATAGAATTGAAGCACGAGAGGTCGCTGAAACGCTGATGACTTCGTTCTACGAGCTTGAGAGAGCCGCCCACAAAGCGTTGGGCGCTATCAAGGGCAGGGACTTCGTTGCTTGGTGGATTAAGAAGCTGCGAGAGAGTGCTGCAGGACTGAGCGCGATTACATTCGAATCATGGAAGGCTCAATAATTAGTTTACAATACACTTCTTCTCCCCATCTTACAATACACTTCTTCTCCCCATCCAGACTTGTGTCATCACTTAGGACTTTGTTGTTTTGTTCTACTTTTGCAGGCTGTTGCAAGCTGTTGCGCTTGGCCGATACAAGCTGATGAATGTGCATCATGCTGGGGAGGTCCCATGCTGGTAGTTATGCAGGGCTCCTTGAGTAACTATTACCCCTTTAGGCAAGCGCAGTATAATCCGCTACACCATATTGGTATTGAAGACTGCATGGCGGCCTTGGCGGCTGGGGGAGAAGTGGACGGACGCACAGCCAATAGTCCGTCATATAATCGGGTCTCCTTTCAATCCTCCCGTCCCAGGCTGAGGGAATGAGCAAGAGGCAACGTGACCTCTTGCTGTTTCGGGGAGACTTATCCGCCAGACAGTAGACTCAGAATCGCGGGCCGGAGTTAAACAAGCGGGTTATCTACTTTGCTCGGCGCGGAGTCTAGACCAATACCTATCTCAAAATTGTTAGGTAATTAGCGTGCAGGACAAGACGCTTGTTATTGAACAGTGTTGGCATCATCCGCAGATGGGTTTGTCCGAAAGGGGTCGGCCCGCGACGCCTTGATACCTTGGGACCTATTCCGTGGGAGGAGTTTCGCACATGCTTTAGCCTCGGGTTTTTGGGGGTCACCAGTTGCAACCCCAGGGGCTAAAGGATTTCAATCTGATCACATGGAGTGGGTTGTGACAAAGGATTGTTTCCCGCGTATCTGTCTGTAATAGGGATCTTCCGATGCGGGTTTCAGCAGGCATCGAATGCCGGCCGAGACCCCGGACTCGAACACCGGAGCCGGGCTCGGTTCGCAGCGAAACCGGGTTCGCCTCCGGGAAGTGGGCGCCCGGTCCAGGCACCGCTTCAGCCCTACTGCAACATTCATGCAATCACCGAGGCAGCGCGTCGGGGAACCGGTTCATGCAGCGTTGAGTTTGCACTTCTCAAGTCTAGTGTAAAAACACGTTATATACTATCCCAATCGCGCCAGGCCATCGGATCTCTAGCTAGTTATGACATTCGTAAACGTAAACTCGTAAACGGCTCCCATGACGCGTCCTCCCCCACCACACCACTCCACTCCCTTCAAACCTCATCCGACTTGACCGAGAACTCGACCCCCTGGTCCAAAAACACTTTCTTGACCACCTCAAAGTGGAACTCGAGCGGGATAGCGTCCTCGCCCTCGAGGATCCAGGTCCACGGTATCCTGACCAGCAACACCACACGCTGGAGCTGCTGCAGACGGGTGCGGACGTCGCGGGCAAAGTGGGTGAGGGTGCGCAGGGCGGCGGCGCGGTAGTGGTTCTGGGACTGGTAGTGGCGCACGCGGTCGCGCGGCCCCCAGTCCGGGAGCGCGTCGAGCAGGTCCACGTTGGACCACCACCAGTCCTCGAGCGCCAGCTCCACGAGGTTGGGCGGCAGGAGGTCGACGAGGGGCGTCTCGAGCACCGCCGCCGGCGTGCCGTACAGCAGGCCCATCTGCACGCAGAGGGTGTGTAGGGAGTCCATTTGGGCGAGGGAGGTCAGCCGCCCGTCGGGCCCCACCAGGCTCTCAAACCCGGATATGTCCTCCCAGCTGACGTCAAGGTTGCGTAGGTGTTTGGCGTGGTTGGCGAGCGCGATGTCGAGGGACTCGGGGTGTTCGCCAGCGTTCATTCCGTCGTCGAGCATCTCCTTGAGCGAGTCGTCGCCGCGCGGGGCCATGTATAGTGTTTCGAGTTGGGGTGCGTTGAGGAGCAGGTGATGTAGGTCGCCGGGGTAGGCGACGCTGTTGTGGAGGTAGATGTGGCGGATGTTGGGCAGGAAGGGCGGCGCGGTGGCGTCGGGCAGGAGGAGGTCGTCGAACTCGTCAAGCACCGTGGTCCAGACGCCGTCATCGCTGCTGACTTCGAGCGTGGTGAGGTTGGGGAAGCTGGAGAAGAGCGGGGAGTACTTCCGTGGCTGGGCGCCCCAGACGTCTGGTCCGTCGCACTCGCACTCGTCTTCCTCAATCTGGGACAAGAGTTCTGGATCGCCTTGTAGAAGGAGGGTGCGGATCGTTTGTAAGGGCGCCGCATCGGGCTCGTCTCGGAAGAGATCCTTGATGCCCTCGATCTGGCCGCACAGCACCGCGTATTCCGGCTGATCGTCGCTAATGGGTATTTGCAAGAGGACCGTCTCTACCTTGGAGAGGAACATCAAGACAAAGCAGAACAGCGCTTGGGGCACGTGGTCGAAGTCGCCTTCGCTGGCAACCATCTGCGGGAGAAAGCTGCTTAGCATTTGAAGAAAGTGTCGAGTGGCCGTGACAAGGACGCCGTCCCCTGGCGCTGGCGTGAAGGTCGGGAGGTACTTGGGAAGGAGCTCGCGGACTTCGCGGACGACATTGATGCATGTCAAAGTGATGTGGCAAGACACGTAGCGTGTGGACAAGCCGTAGTGCGGCTTGCTACAGAGGGTGCGGAAAAAGAAAAGCATTGCTGTCTCGTCCCAGAGCGCTACGTTCCTGTATAGTAACGGGAGTGCCATCTCGGACAAGCGACGGTTGACACGGCAGACGCTGCGGAGGCCGCGGCGGCATCGCGTGAAGTCGAACCAGGGTTCGTCGACCATTAGTTGGTGGTAGGCGACAGGGCGTGTCTCGCCGATCTCTGGTGGCTGAGGGACGAGGAATTCCAGTATCAGAGAAATTATTTCGGGGGGTATGGTGTCGAAAACAGGAACCGACGGCCGGGCGTCCGCCATGACTGTGTCGCCGTTCCGGTCGAGGCCGGTCGCGGGGTTCACGGCGGTCGTCGCCATCTGTGGCAACCCGGAGAGCCGCACCTGGACTGCCGCTGATAGCGTGCCAATCCTGCCCAGTCAGGAGGGGATTGGATGTAGTCGGGTTGGCAGGACACCAGGAGCGCACGGGAAACCACGGAGTATTTCATGTAGAACGGTGAATGGAAGTGCCCGAATTTGGTGTTGCATTCAGAAGAAAAGCGGTGCCATCGCGTCAAACCCCACCATGCAAAAAATTGCGGGGCATTCGGCAGAGCCCGATACCCTAACCCTGATATCATCAGGCAAAAAGGCCGCCAACAGGAATAGGAAAGCAGTTTCTTGGGGTTTTGGATAACTTTCGTCCCGTTCCTGAATACAGAGCATGTACACTTCGAGTTTGGCATTTTTTGCCCCGGTAATTTGGTACCTGGGTAAGTGCTCATTTAGTTGTTCTGTTCAGCCCTCGGGGGTTCTTTTTTTTAGCCTGTCATGAACTTTGATTCAGTCAGGTTCTTCTTGCCTTTGTAACTACGCGTCGGACTGCAATTGATGGATGCAGTGCAAAGCGGGTTGGTCTTTTTGCGTCCTCGGCAAAATATGACCATCAAGCAAGGCTCAAAAAATATAAAATGACCGCAAAATATCCATTTAATGTTTGCCCTTGTTGCCAGAGTTCTTGCCTAGTCACAACAACTCCCACATCTGGTTTTCTTGCTGCTAACGAACAGTCGCCGAGCAACTTGACCGCAACAACCCTCCACCGAACCACAAATCTGATATTGCTTCGTCAAAACCCGAAGTGGCTTGGAAACCAATGCCGGACACACAACCCTACCTACAATTTCTCATACCCACCCCCCTCCCCCCTTTTTGCTCTCCTCGGAATCACCCTTCCCCCCCAAACCTCAAATCAGACCCCCACAGCCGTCGTGGCAGACGCAGACACCGTCGCCGTGGCGCTACCACACGGCTCGGTGTACAGGAACGTGCCCCACCCCGTGTAGCATTGCTGGCAAGGCGTCTGCGTCGGGCACACCGTCACGGTCTGGGTCTCGATGAACACGCGCGGACAGCCGCACGAGATTGTGGCGGGTGCTGGGATGGGGGATGTCAGTGTCAGTTTTTGGTCTTATTTTTCCCTTTGTGTTGCAATAGTTGTATGCGTTTTGGGTTGGGGCGAGATGGTGAGGTGGCAGGGGGGAGGGGGGTCCATGGTGCCGTACCGTCAATGACACAAAAGCCCGTTGCGCAGGTGTGAGCGCAGCCGCTGGAGGAGTAGAAGGTCTGCGTCGGGCGGTAGGTGCATGAGTCCGGGTAGCTAGTGATGGTGTCTGTGGTGGTGGTGGTTGGGGTTGGGGAGGAGGCGGGGTTACAAGCTGCGGCTGAGACCGAAGCGGCGGCACTGGAATTCAACAAGCCGTTAAGTCATGGCCGGGGGCAAGATTCATTTGGGCTGGAGGAGTGGTGAGCTACCTTGATAGCACGACGGCGGCTTGGTGAAGACGCATTTTGCAAAAGGGATACAGGTAACTATGCTGTCTGTCTTGTTTGTGTTGTCTGTGGTTGTGGGTGAGCAAGCTGGTAGAAATGGCCAGCTTGCAAGCAATGCAACCACGGGACAGTCAGTTCATCGCCAAGTTCTGCGCCTAACGTCGTGGTCGGTAGACCGGCCCGACGTACGGGAACATCGTGAGCCACATCGCCCCGGTGTTTTCCATCCATGCAGAGTTTTGGCCGCTGGGAAATGGCCGCACTTATTGGCCTCTATCTGACCTCGACCTTGTTGAGCAGCGACGGTTGTTATTCGTTCAGCATTGCACAGTTGCGCCGCTCATGGGATTGGCTGGGCCTTTTGGGTGGCTATTCTCCCCTGACTTTCACCCAACCCAAGCCTCAGATGACCGATAAGTCGTGCTCAGACAATGGGATGGATACCAACTGTAGATGTACCAGCACCCGGGGACTGTAAGTGAGCAGGGCAGGTGGGTTTGCTTATGGGTTGATATTGGCGAGTTACGAAGAAACGTTAGAAAAAACGACCGATCTACCTCCTCAGCCCGCCCAGAATACCCTAAACCAATCTTCATCCGTCTCGTCAAAAGGGGTACCCTCACCCAAAGTCGACCCAATCGACCCATATCCCGAGTCCACATCGCGATACAGACTCGACCTCTTCAAATCCCCCAGTTTCCACCCATCACACAACAAAAAAACCTCCGAAGCCCGCCTCTCTCTCGGCCCACAATCCCCCATCATCACACGCGCCCTCGACCCAACCCCAACACCATCATACCAACCACCGCCCTCAGCCCCAACACCACCACCGTCCCCAGAGATATCTCCATTCCCAACCCCCACCCCCGCCTCCGCCCTCAGCGCCGCATCCAACAAATCCGCCGTCTCCGGCAACCCCACCGCCTCCACCCCCAACCTCTGCCTCATCTCCTCCAAGCTCCGCCACAACGGCACCACATACGCATCCCCCGTCACATCCGTCGCCACCACATGCCCATACACCTCCATCGACACGGGATTGACCACCCACGCGCCCGAGTCCCCGTCCGCCACCGCCTGCCCCTCGTCCAGCTCCAGCAGGTACGCCTCCACAAACTGCGCATGCATGTCGGTGGTGTTGAGCAGGATGCCGCCGGGGATGTGCGACAGTACCCCCAGCATGGTGCCGTCGCTGGAGGGGTGGGAGGCGGGGGTGCTGGTGAGCAGGGCCACCTCGATGGGCTCGAGCGTGGGGAAGCTGGCGCGGGGGGCTGTGGTTAGGCTGAGCCCGTTGATCATGCCTAGGCCTAGGCTTATGCCGGAGGTGGGGCCGGTTCGGGAGGTTGGGGGGTGGTGGTGGTGGTGGGAGATGCAGCACCCGCGGCGTGAGATGTTCGGTCTGTTGGGTAGGGTGTTGCCTACGGGAAAAAACAAGCAAACTACCCTCGGACGGGAATTGCAGTGACCTCGTTGAGCTAAGACGTGAGCCTGCCTTGTGCGCGAACGACAAACTTCCTTCCGGTCCTCCCTTGATAAACCAGCACCTACTGCGCATCACAATTCACAATGTCAAGTACTTCCTACTTCGCAAGCCTCGTCGCTTGGCCCTGTGAGCCGCGTTGAGGACGCACCTTTCCCCCGAGACCGGGCTGGAGAAATCCTTCGGCCAATTTGAAATCTGTCATCCCTGAGTCCGTCTCCGACCACACCGACGCGCGGCTCACTTCGAGTTCTCACGAGTTGTAAAAAGTCAAGCTTGATTTGGTCGGGGGGACGAAAAAAC